CCACAGAGTTGGCGGTAATTTGTTCCAGAAGCAATAGGAAATGAACACAGGTGTTCAGATAAAGCTCTGCAGAATTTGAAGCCCAATAAATGTCTGTGTGCATTAGTATTGACCCTGTGATATAAGTTGACCAGGGAAAAGTAGGGATGAACACAGCTCAAGTGGTTCAAATTGCTGTAACACTGAACCACCAACCATAACAGCCACCTTTCGGACTCATGGCTTTCACCTTTTATTAGACTGTTGGTGGCATTTTGCAACTACTGTTACGTAACTTCGTTAATAACATCCATTATTCTTACCCTAAATTTTTTTGAAATATGTAACTGCTCTGAGTGACATTTTTATATGGCACCTGTTTCTGCGTGAGCAACAAAGCAATGGGCTCTGTAAGTTGCCGATTTTTTAAATGCCCTCTGTTATAACTATCAAAATTTTCTCACTAACTTGACCTTCCAGTAATCATTCTAAACCAAGACAGTGCTGAAAATACCTGAAGAAGAGTGACAGGCAAGACAGATTTAGATTCTACTCATATCACCACTCATAGCAAGGCCATGATATTCTAGAATGTCTTGTAAATAACTAGCTGGCATCCCTGTTAGCTTCCAGACTGAAGCAACCTGAGGCTGACTGTTATTGTCCTTATGGCCCCAACTAAGCCATCTTTTAAAAGTTAACCTCGAAGAATGAGAAATCAGTCAACATTGTGCTCAAATCTTGTCTAAAGAAGAAAAGTTGACAGTTTCTCAAATCAGTAAAATCACGTACATACAAGAATTAGATAGCCATGCAGGTATAAACAACTGATAAACATTTTTAAAATCCTCTTGGGGCGCCTGGGTGGCACAGTCGGTTGAGCGTCCGACTTCAGCTCAGGTCACGATCTTGCGGTCCGTGAGTTCGAGCCCCACGTCGGGCTCTGGGCTGATGGCTCAGAGCCTGGAGCCTGCTTCCAATTCTGTGTCTCCCTCTCTCTCTGACCCTCCCCCGTTCATGCTCTGCCTCTCTCTGTCTCAAAAATAAATAAACGTTAAAAAAAAAAATTAAAAAAAAAAATCCTCTTAAAAGTATGCAAACAAGAAAGAGAGGGCAACAATCACTGTGCATAGATGTTTCGGTTACTGGCCTAACATTATTCTTTTAATAGCTTTCAAAAGTTACTATTATTCAAACATTGCTGTGTGAATGAATAAATACCTTTATATTTTCTCAGCAAGTCATACCAAAGCATATCATAGTCCAGAGCTTAGATTACTTTCTAAACTAACTTTCTATTTTCTCTTCTATTTCGAGATCTTTCCTAGCCATTTTCTGCCATTTAAATTTTTTCCTTAGGGATATTAATCCCCCTGATACTTTCTGCTAAGGCAAGATATTCTTCCAATATTTCCCTAATACCATATGCACAAAAAGCTATAATGATCCATAAAATGCAAAGAATGTTAGAAGTATCAGTGTAATGCTACAGGAATCCAGAGGAGGAAAAGATCAGTTAACATTAGGGACACGTATGAATTTAGCATTGAAAAATGAAAACTGACTGGCCTTAATGGAGGGAAAGGGAACGACGTAAGAAAGAAAAGAGAAAAATCATGGACAGTGTATGAGAACTGGTACTGGCTGAGTCTGGCAGGAGTAACAATCACAGGAAAGTTTCTGCTGACTCCCAGAGGCCTAAACACCAGGCTAACATAAAATTTCAACTTTGTTAAATGAGCAGCAAAAACTTAGGTGACTACACAAAATAAAGCCAATAGGAACAAACAAAGCTCTGGGCTCATTTTGTCCTTTTAGGGGAGAACTGGAGCGGTAAAAAGAGGGAAAATCCCGTCTTTACTTCGAACATCAAAAATCAGCAAATTTTATCAGGACCAAAGGAAAAGTAACACATTGAATTAACGTAGAGTGAGCTTCAGTACATGCATCAAAACAAACAAGAGGGGAGCTGTTCAAAGTCATTTCTAAGTATCCAAAATTAGAGGTGGGGAACTAACTCAGGCTTTTTTCACAGCCCAGTCAGTTCTTTGGGACCTGTGGAACCCATGGCCTCTATTCGTAACAGAAGCCCAGGGCTGCCATGAAATCCTCTTATCTCTAAAGACTGCTAAGTGTTTCCAATGTAGCTCAAGAATTAAACTTTGTTTCCAAGAATCAGGTATCTCAGCAGGATGAATGGGGCCTCAGAATTTAAACGAGACTGTTCCTAATCTTTATATCCTGAATACCACAAATACTATAATGATCTTATGAGGCCCCCTAGTGCTCACAATGTAGACATGTTATAATCCAACACTGACCCCAGAAAAACCCTTCACTGTTAAATCAACTATGGAATCAATCAGCAGCCCATCAAAAAAAAAAAAAAAAAAAAAATATATATAATATATATATATATATATATATATATATATATATATATATAGCACTTTAGGGAAATAAGTGACAGGTAAAATGTAAAGAACCCATTTTGATTAATTCATCTTGAATTACTTTGAGCTAACTTTCACAAGGCAAGTAAAGGCCCAGAAAAGCCTAAGCAATGTTTAACAATAAAATTATTTCTCAAAATAGAAATCATTCTATTTTCCTTTTTTTCATTCATCTAGCTAAACTACTAATGTATCACATACAACCCTCAAAATAGTGAAAGCTTTAGATAGTACACATGATTAAGTCTTTTGTAAGAAGTTCATCACTCGAGGCGCCTGTGGCTAGTCGGTTAAGCGTCCGACTTCAGCCAGGTCAGGTCAATGATTCGGTGTGAGGCCCAGCTGCCGGGCTCTGGGCTGATGGCTCAGAGCCTGGAGCCTGTTTCCGATTCTGTGTCTCCCTCTCTCTCTGCCCCTCCCCCGGTTCATGCTCTGTCTCTCTCTGTCCCAAAAATAAATAAACGTTGAAAAAAAAAAAAAAAAAAGTTCATCACTCAAGTGATTTAAACACACACACACACACACACACACACACACACACTTTAAGTCAGTACACATTACTTCCCCAAAAGTTGATTTATCTTGTGCAATATCATAACGTTGTCTGTATCACTGTAACAATTGTAATATTTGTTATGACATTCTTCAATAGCATTCTCTTGCTTATTTTCTTACTACTGGGACTTCCACTGAGGAGATACCAGCAGCTGGGAAATGTGTTACAACTGACTTCATGTTAATTTAGGTTTCCAAGTCTGAAAATAACGTACCTTTCTTTTTGTGTATATAAGGGAACCCATCCAAGAACCACTACCAACCTTCCAGCCCCATCCCCACCCCACCCTCAAGGGTCTTGGCAAGACCTATGGAATAATACTAAGAAACCCTTTACCCCCTTGTGCTTCCCCTTTCCTTTCTCTTACCTCCTCCTCACAGTGGGAGACACTGGTCTAATTGGTAAGACTAGGGAAAGGGGCACTAGCCATGCCTAATTCATCTCCTTTTTCTTTTGGGATCCAGCCTATGGATGACCGCCTCCTTCCCCAATGCAGTTAATCTGTTCCTTTGGGGAGGTGAGGCCTCCAAGTCATCCAGCTACCTGCCTGTGAATGGGTGAAGGAGTCTAATAGAGTAGGTAGGTGAAGAACATTAAGTCACGTTCTCTAAAACTAGCCAAAGCTAGTATTTCAATCCTTGACTTCAGTATGAATTTCTAAACTGTATAATAGAGAAAAATATGACCAGTTATCACTCCAACAATATGAACTAAAGAAGATTATCCTTTTAATAACATTACTCATTTTCTGTACTTTATTTGACTGGGAGAAAGAAGGATTGAACATTAATTACCCTGAGCATACTTGCACACACGTCATTCCTTGCATATTTCACAATAATGAAAACCCAAGACCTATGGGAACAAGATCTTACATGGAGGTCATTGGTCATTTATTGTCTTCTACCTTACATCAAGTGGACACACGTCATCGTCTAAATGAGAAGACTCTTCCTTGAACATATACATCATGTTTTATTGACTAATTTCATGCCACTCATTAAATAATTTAAGGTAATTTTATATACTAAACAAAGCTTCCCTTAATATCTCCAAAAGTAGTAAAATGCCTGCTTTTGTTAGGTTAAATAAAGTCTTTTCTTTAGTTCAAAAACATACATGAGATCCTTACTTCTTCAAACCAAAGGTACTTTAGACTTATACCATAAACTGTATAGAATTCATGGATCATATGAGGATATATGAATAAATGTTTGCTTCTGGTTCAACTTATAAACTATCCTTTTTTTTTCTTGTAGAATTCTGTGGGTTTCTATTTTCTTTTACTTTTTTCAATTTGGCATCTAAAAATAAAACCATAAACAACTTTTAGCACTAAACCAATGCTCACAAATCATATTCATTTACATTAACAATAATCCCAAAGTACAAATTTGCATTAAAAGGATTCATTAGATTCCATATGTAATCTATTGCTATTATCAGGAATCTTATATAAGATGTCTCCAACTTCACACAGCATTCAGGCTCATTTTCATGGTGACTTTTTAGTTGTTAGTAATTGCCATGTTGGTTTCTGATGGGGGGGTGGGGACAATCACTAAATTTCAAGCACTGTTCTAACCTTATGCCCTGGGACACTAGTACAATGCATATATCAGAATACTGAGGGTTGACTCCTCACTGGCTACACAGTTAACGAAAGGGCAGAATTCATAGAATACTAGGCCCGTGGTCAACTTTCCTACCAGTAGGGAGTAACATGTATAGCCTCTACGATCCACAATTTTCTCATCTGAAACTAGAGATGATAATCCTTATCTTAGAGAGTTTTAAACTCCATAAAAAGAGGGAAAAAATGTGAGAAGAAAAATATATGAGAACCACAACACATAGTAGGTATACAACAAATGGCAGTTATTGTTCTAATCAGTCTCAACCAGAGTTCTACTGCAGGTGAAGGCCACCAGGGGTTCACAGCATTGTTGCAACAATTACTTATTTAAAGAGACTCTGAATAGCACATTATATTTAATATCAAGTTAACTTACCCAGACAGGAGTACAAACCCTGACTTATCCAAGCTAATATGGCAAGAGTTATGAGGTCACCAAAACTAGCAGCAATGGGGGTAGCAACATTATCAGGATTTATGCCAGTCTTCTTTGAACCAACAATAACCCCAACCATTATTATTCCTGGAAGAAAGAAAACTCATTACTTTTTATGCTATGATTTAGAGAAAATCAATCCCCTAAATACTGAAATATAAAAGCTAGACAAACAGTGAGTACATCATTTCCAGTTAGACTGCTTAGATAAGCTGACTAAAGCAAACAAAACATTTTACTCTAATGCTCTGGCAAAATGCCTTTCAACAAATTCCAAGTAGGGATCATAGAAGATTTGAGAAGTTCAGTGTTACATTTAGAGAACTGAAAAGCTACCGTAAAATAACATTCAAGCTGAAGTTTCAAATTTAATAACATGTATGTCTTAGATGTAATGTATATTTGTACCAAACCCAAAGATTTTATGTTAACCCTCAAATAAGGAATGAAAATATCAAAGAAAAGGTGATTCGTATTTATATGCACAGCAATTGGGAAGAAGACCAACAAAAACAGCTTTGTCTACATGGTGGTAGCCAGAATGCTTGCTTCATTTTATTATTTAAAATCATTGAAGTATTAAGAGGGAAGTAATTAAAATTTGAACACTGGAGACCAGAACACAAAAAGCAGTCTTTATAAAGGATATTCTTTAAAACCAAAGTTTCTGTCTATGAACTTCCAACTAGAGAACAGAAGATGAAAATACGACTGTGTACTTATACTCCTAGATACCTGTTTTCTTGAATCATAGAAATGGGGAGGGGGATTGATAACATTTACATCCATACTCAATTGTATAGATTTTCTCATGCCAACATTTAGAGGATGCAGTGCAGAGAATATTTAAGATTAGTTCACTTATATGCTAACCATAAACCAGTATGGAAGCCTAAAAATGGCTATAAGGGAAAAAAAAAACCAACAGAATCTCACTGCATTTTTAGACTGAAAATGACTCAAAATGATTTTAGTCTAGCATTACTCATTTTATAGATAATAAAACTGAGGTCTTGGGAGTAGAGCTTAAATTCTTGTTGAAGGTCACAGAGCTTGTAAGTAACTCTACTTCCATGTTTTCTACTACCCCAATAAAGCCACAATTATTAAAAGTAGAATCTCTGTCTTGCTTCAAATAATTTCTCACCTCTTATATTCTGGAGATGTTTTCAATCTATAGACTTACCTTTCCCATAATATCATTGTAAAAAGAAAAAAAAAGCAATAGAAAAGCTTTTAAAATGTATTATGTAATAATCAAGATGTGCTCACACAGAATCCTTTTTTCAAAGTCAGCACATTTAAAGATCAACATGGAAAGTTCTCCCAGGACAGGATGCCATCCATATCTTTTCAGCTGAAAACAAATATTTTGCCATCATGGGCCAGCGGAAAGAGCTGGGAGTCAGGAAACAGGTTTTAATACTGATTTTCTGCAAACAAGCTGATGAAATTAGGTAAGTCACCTTACCTGAGTCAGTTTTCTCACCTACAAAAGGTGGTTAATAGTATCTGCTCTCTCTACATATAAATGTCCAACTATCATAAAATTAGAACACACATTGTTCAAAGTAACAAGCTTTAAGCACATGTATTTTAAAAGTCTGAATTCGGGGCGCCTGGGTGGCTCGGTCGGTTAAGCGTCCGACTTCGGCTCAGGTCATGATCTCGTGGTCCGTGAGTTCAAGCCCCGCGTCGGGCTCTGTGCTGACAGCTCAGAGTCTGGAGCCTGTTTCAGATTCTGTGTCTCCCTCTCTCTCTGCCCCTCCCCTGTTCATGCTCTGTCTCTCTGTCTCAAAAATAAATAAACGTTAAAAAAAAAAATTTTTAAAGTCTGAACTCTTATGATTTTGAAAATCCTAGGCAATACCAATAGTTTTTACTGAAAGCTTTTAAACAATTATTTCTAAATGAAGCAAGATTAGAAAACAGAAACGAACTTAAGGTAAAAGAAGCTAATGCTTTGACTTTTTTTTTAGTGTTTCTTTATTTTGCGGGGGGGGGGGGGGAAGGGACAGAGAGCGATGGGGACAGAGGATCAGAAGCCAGCTGTGTGCTGACAGCAGAGAACTCATTGCGGGGCTCGAACTCACAAACTGTGAGATCACGACCTGAGCCGAAGTCCAACGCTTAACCAACTGAGCCACACAGGTGCCCCAAATGTCTTTTAACCAGAAATTAATTTCCCAATAGCTTAACTTCATCCCACTTTGGCCAGTGTTAACACCACTGAATTCTGGTAATTCTATATATAGACAAGAAACTACCCTTAATAAAAGTACCAAAACAAAATGCTTGAAAATATTTTGGAAGTCAAGTCTTAATCTTAGTAAGATTCTCTAAATTCCCAGAACCTAGCCAAAAAAGTTAGCTTAACAGTTTTATAATCATCTGACGTGAGAATTTTCTATTTTTCACCTTGCTGGTGATATAAGGGTAAGAAGATGACAATTGTAAAATAAAAATGATCATAATTTCATAATAAGCTAGTTCTCTAGTGTTAAGTTCTTAATAAATAAAAAAAATGATACCGCAACTGAAAAGTTTTAAGGTAGTTAACTTTTTTTAAGTTTATTTATTTGGGGGGGGGGAGGGGCAGAGAGAGGGGGAGAGAGAGGGAGAGCCCAAGCAGGCTCCATGTTGTCAGCTCAGAGCCTGATGCAGGACTTGATCCCACAAACTGTGAGATCATGACCTGAGCTGAAATCAACAGGTGGATGGTCAACCAACTGAGGTACCCAGGTGCTCCAAATGTAGTTAATTTTTAAAACTTTCTGGCTTTTTAAAAGTCTAAAGCCAGTAATATACTGTGCTGAGCGGTTATATTTGTATTGCCACAGAATTAGTAAAAAAAAAAATTTTGAAATCTGAAACTTTAAAAAATTTTAACAGAGGGACTGCTTTTGAAATTCAGAATTCCTGGAATCCTTGCTACTCAAATGACAAGCCAGTAAATCCTCTGCATGATTTCCAGAAAGGAGTTTCTCAATTAATTTAATTTATAGAAACCAATGACTTATCTATTTTCTTGATCTCATTTGGGAACTCTACCAGAGTACCTAAGGCCAGGAGACAACCTCATTAAGCCTGTTCTACATTAAGGTTTACATACAACAAATATAGGTATTTGTGAAATAAGATATTTTAAAAGTTTGTAGATAAATTTTCTCTCCTTCTTGCACTCTTGGTGGGAATGCAGGCTGGTGTGGCCACTCTACAAAACAGTATGGAGGTTCCTCACAAAGTTAAAAATAAAACTACCCTATGATCCAGCAACTGCACTACTAGGTATTTACCCAAAGAATACAAAAATCCTCCTTCAAAGGGATACATGCACCCTGATGTTTTAGAAGCATTATCTACAATAGCAAAACTATGGAAACAACCAAAGTGTCAATCAACTGAGGAATAAAGAAAGAAGATTATGGTATACA